GATTACAACACATAGATAAAGTCTACTCATTACTAGCTTGCTATCATCCCTTTCTTTTTCCTTCCAGCTAGCTAATTGGTCTTTATTGTAGAGAGACTGAGGGGTCATTGCACAACTCAGATTTTGATCAGGCTTGGTATGCTCACTAGAAATGAAAAATATTCTATGGAAGAATGTTAATAGAGGCAAAGCCACCAGGGCAGTTCCTCACCAAATCATCTACAATGATGGAGCAGGAACCAGGCTGAGCCAATGAAATGTCTGAACAAAGAGGAAGGAATAAAAAATAATCAGGAAAAGATGTCAAGGGAAACAACTTGATTTTAGAGGAGTATATAAAAAGGGACAGGAGGAGTGGGAGAATTTCAGAGGGCTTCAGAAGAAGATGTAGAGCAAGAGAATAAGGGCTAGATAAAAGACACATTAGGAATCATGAAGAAGAAGTAAAAAAGGAAGAATCCGTAAGGATTAGACAGAGCTATGGGAAATGCAGTTCAAGTCTTGGAGGGTAAGAGGAGGAGAGCGAAGCGATGAAGGAGTCCTGAGAGGTGTGAGAGGTTAGCCACTTTATAGTTTCTAGAAACCCAGATAACCACAGCTCGTCTAGCTGCACTGAAATGAAAATATGTTTGTATCTGAAAATCTATGAATGCCTTCTGAGAATTTACTTTACATAGAGTAGATGTGGGGAGTGCACATATTTGCATACAAAACCCAGGTCATCCAAAGAACTAGGAACCGAGTTGCAAAATGCAACTAAATGTTCACTGGCCAGTTCAAGCGCTCTCAGTTTGACACTGAACACAGTCTTGTCACTGCTGCCACTGTCCACTCCTCTTTCCTCAGAAGAAAACAAACAGGAAGTGTTCATTTATAATCGTAGCTTCCATTGGCTCTTTTTGGTAGAAAAGGATGAGCCAACAAAAGCCCTCTGAGTGCCCCTGGCTGCCAAACACTCAGTTGATGGACAGCTCATGAAAGGAGGATTATAGAGGGGGTCAGAGGGCTTGTTTTTGTAGCAAACATCATTGCTGTCAATATGTATGTGTCTGTGTGTGTCTGTGTGTGTGCATATACACGCTATTTAAAAGTGCAGAAAAACATCACTAGGCTATGTGATTTCAGTTCCTCACAGTAGCAGTAACTCTCAATCTACCTATGAGTCAGTGTCTCCATGAGCACATTTTGGGATTTTATAGTTTTGGATTGAGTACAGTGCGACATCCTTTGCGGTAATAAAACACAAAATACACACACAGAGCCAACCCCATATGACATCCATCTTGGAGAAGCTATTCAATTTATATACATTTTCTCCACCCCTGTTCTTCCTGCCGACACACACTTGCTCTCTGCCCCTTGGGCACTACAGAGCTAGAGGCACAGGGCTCTGAGAGCAGGCATCGTTCTCAGTTACTCTTAATGAATTGAGAGCTGCAAAAGAGACCAGTGAGCTCTGTCCTGCTCGGAAGTCCAGATGTCACTGCCTAACAAAAGAGCAGTTAGCAAACTTTTCCTGAGCACTGAGGTGCAACAGTCCCTCTGTATGACACCTGTACAGCATTAAGGGCTTGAAGGCACAATATATTCAAGCAAGCATTGTGTACTTGTACTTGTTACAGTGTGTAATGAGTGCCCATCCTTTCCAGTCTGTCAGCCATCACCCTCTACCTCCAGACCCACAGTATGTAGGTCACTGCATGTGTTAATGCAGCCTCTCAGTAAGAGGATTACACTGCTACCCCCAAGATGTCTCTCGTGGCAGGTATGCCACATATTTATCATTACTGTATTTCTCAACCAGTTTTCATATTACTATTCAATAGGAAGTTGATGAAATTAGTTCAGTTTCTCCACAGCTTCCACACACTGAGAACACAGCTCTCGCTGACTCAGGCTTACATCTACTCTTAACCTGACTCTGCAAAATTACACCATTTAACACAAACATGTCAATCGTTGCATCAGTGTGCTTTTCCCACATCATCAAACACAGCCTCACTCTCCTCCTTTGTGATGTTTGAGCTGCAGGATGTCTGCGCTTTGTCACGCAGCATGGGATGATACGATTGTATGACCATCCACGGCCTCCTGTTACTGATTATTAGCATTAACGAAAAGAAAGGGAGGAGACGGGGGAGGGAGAAGTGATTCAACAGCACTTAACATCATAGCAAAATTTAGAGATAAGAAAACTGATGTTGTGTGATGTTGGACAGTAAAGACTGGGATGTAAGGGGGGAGGAAGAGATAGGGAGGGAGAAGTGATTCAACAACACTTAACATCATAGCAAGAAAACTGATGTTGAGTGATGTTGGACAGTAAAAACTGGGATGTAAGGGGGGAGGAAGAGATACACAAATGAAATGAGACTCAAAGGAGTTTATAAGCATGTTTGCCTTGTTCTCAGTTCATTTTGTCATATTTTTTCAAATAGTGGCAAATACAAATCTCCATTATAGAAACAAGGCTATATTGTGGTGTAGGTGGAGTGACTCCAGGGAAAATAAATCAGACTTTAATTTCATATGATTACATGA